CAAATCCGGTTCAGAGGGGCTGGTTTAAGGTTCGTCCACCCCTTGAACTGGTCAAAACCCCGATACACCCTCTGTAGGGGCATATCGGGAAGCTCCCGATACGATACATATCGATATTTTGAACCTTGCCTATGACTATATTGTGATAATAAGGCTGCCATCAACATTGCTGCCAACCTAGTTCTGCATGATAGAACCAAACACATTGAGGTAGACAAGCACTTTATCAGAGAAAAAGTTGTGAGTGGGGAAGTGTGTACACCATATGTCAGATCCAAAGTGCAACTTGCAGACATATTCACAAAGGGATTACATCACTTACGACTAGACCTGTTCATGGGCCGGGTAGCCCAACGGGCTGGCCTGGCCCGGCCTGCTATTAAGTTGGGCTTGGTCATAATTTTCGGTTCGCGGGCTCGGGCTCGGGCCTAAAGCACCGGGCCCAACTTCTTTTTGGGCCGGGCTCGGGCTTTCTCAAAAAAGCCTGGCCCAAGCCTAAGCCCAACTTGATACAATATATTAAACAATAAAAATATATTTTATTTAATAAAAAATATATACAATATTTTTTCTTTGTTCTTCTGTTTTTTTCCAAGTAATAGTGAGATGCTTATTATTTTTGAGTTTTGGAGGTTTTTAATATAAATAAAACACTTTTCTATTGAATAAAAAAGAAAAAAAATTCTGTTTTCAAATTTCTGGTCGGGCTCGGGCTCAGGCCCGGGCTTCGGGCTTTATATGAGGGCCGGGCTCGGGCTCAAGACTTAGGTCTGATGGTCAGGCTGGGCTTGGGCTTGGGCTTGGGCCTGAGTGTATTCTATTGATACATATACAAAGCCTGCCCCGCCCAGCCCGGCCCATGAACAGGTCTACTTACGACATAATGATTTATGTGACAAGTTGGGCATAATTGACATCTATGTCCCAACTTGAGTCAATTATGCCCAACTTGAGGGGGAGTGTTAAAAGGCTGTTTTATGTTCAGTATTAGTACCATAGGGGTATTATTGTAATTTTGATTTATTTTATGGTTGCCCTATATAAATACAAGAGCTGGCGCTGCCAGCACAACATTTTGGCTCTCTTCTCCTCTCTTCAGCCTTCTCTTTTCTGTTTATTAAAAACTACACCAACTGGAGAGAAGACAACTGAACTTGAACATACAGGTAAATTGCAAGTGACGATCCCAACCAGAACTCTACAATATTGAAAGTAAGGGAAAAAGGAAAGAGAAAATGAAGAAAAAAGAACCAGTAATTTCTTACTGCTCAATTGTGTTTGGTTGGTCAAATATTATCACAAACGTCTTATCCCCTCCTTGTTAATTATGTTATAATCCACAAATTCAGAAAGACAAGAGCTAATGAAAACTAAAAGCACATTGTTTTAACTGGGTACATCTATCACRATCTTTAAAGCTAGCACTCACAAAAATTCTTAATTCCTTTTCTTAATTTAATGGTATACTTATCCTTGGACCAAACAGATAAGACTCCCAAAAATGAAAAGAGAAGTGTTTCTTTAAGTTATTTACAGTGGCTGGATGGGCACCAGTGGATCCTGCTGGAATTTATGGCGAGCGGCCGAGAGTTGTGGGAAGTACTAAAGCAAAAATTCTGTGGAGCTGTATTCCATTTGCTGTCTGCTGGGAGGCTTGGAGAGAGAGAAACAAGAGGATATTTGAAGAGAGAAGGAACAACTTTTAAGAAGTTGGGGCGGCAATCTCTTCTTTGGCTTCTGGTTGGGTGCTAGTTCTCCCAGAATTTGAGGTTCTAAGGAAAGAAGGTTTTGGATCTGGCTTCTAGCATACTCTGAATGTTTAAGACTTATTTCTGGTTTTGTATTTTGTTTTTGTTATTGTTATGGTGGGGTGGCTCCTGGTTACCTGTGTTAGATGTGCTTTTATTTTCAGCAATAAAATTTTCTTTTTTATTTATATTCAAAATAAAAAAGAGCAGTGTCTCTAATGATGTCTGCKCTTTTGCTGGTTAAGCCTCGAATTTTCTGAGGAAGATGAGATGTTCCTGAAATTTCTTTTGCCTCCAAGAACTTGTCTGTGATTAATAATGAACACTTTGTATTGTCTCTGTTTTGTTTCTGCATGCTAGCAGATTTTTCTAATCTATAATTCATGAGGTGTTTTATCTTCTTTTTGATGAACTGTGGTGGTAGCCTTTTAGTAGCAATATATATGTAGTTTTAGTTAGATTTTTTGCTTGTTATATTTAGGTGAGGGATGCAGGCAATCTTTTGACAAGGGCAGGATTCACGCTTCCAGGTGTTGATGTTGATGAATACACTGTCAGATATGACAGTGGTAAGTTTCTCTCAGAATTTTGGAGTTTGAATCTTGTTTGCTAAGGCACATTATGCAACTAATTTTGAGGTTATTAGAAGCCCCAACATGTGCTTATAACTGTACACGGGAAGATGTGAAATTCATTTAATATATATGTATGTATATAATTATATATATGATAAATGGAAAAGGGTATTACATTACTGAAAAGGAGGGCAAGAAACCCTCAGCATTTACAAAGGTAAAAGGCTGTGTATGCACAAAACATACAAAAAGTATATGCCTAACTGTATGCACATGAACAATCAAAATATTGGTAGACCTCTCACTGATCACAAATGCAATCAAACTCCACACTTGAAAATAGACTAGAAAAGCATGCCCATTGCATCATGGTCCATTCAACCTTGCCAATGATAGCTTCTAGAGGAACAGACTTTGCTTCAAAACTCTTCCGTTTTTCTTCTTCCAGACTGTYCAATAGATAACAAAAGGCATAGAGTTTCATAGCATCTTCCCCTTATTTGAGAACACGCCAACTTTCCAAGATGCTAGCAAGTCAGCCATTGTGTGTGGGAGCCCACTGGAGATGAAATAAATGAAGAAAATGGCACCAAATATGGTAGGTAATGGGGCAATAGATCAGCAAGTGATGAACAGATTCAGGGGCTGATCTGCACAGGTTGTCCATCATCATGCCTTGCCTCAGCAGACAGTCAAAAAGAAAATGATTTTAGAGGGGTCTTGTGCCCTCCAGATTCACTACCAAGGGATCTTCTAAACTGTAAAGAGGGCCAATGAGAACTTGATTGCAGGACTTTGCCGAGAAACGTCCAGCTTTTCCC